TGGTAGAAAGTCAGTTTTTTCTTCACTTAAACCAGTGCTTTAGTTCATTTTAAAAAATACTGAAGGAAGTGGAGGAGACAATTTTGAAAGGCAAAGCGGTAAGAATAACAGGTTTCAGGGGCACTTCACTATAAAATGTCAAAATTCTTAACCAGTGCCCATTGAAATAAATCAAGTCTTACGGTGTGCACTTCTCTATAACTCATGCCCGTAATTGGAGCAATGCCGTTTGACTGACGGTGGTAACATCTGGGGTGGTGCCCAGCAGGTGATGTGTTGTTGATTGTGCAAGCAGAGCTGAAGAGTGGGTGGAAGCCAGCAGCCTCTAATGATAAGGGGGAGTGTGGCAGAGCGTGTGCCATGAAGGGGAATAGATCACACTCACTCGAGAAACCTTAGCACACACAAGTGCTGAGGTACAAGATCATGAGCTACCAAGTGTCAGAGACACGGGGGCCATGAGGCATTCCACCCCAAGCAAAATATTCTTTCCTTAAGTACTTTCTGCAGGCACTGACCCTGCGGTTGTGTGAGATCCACCTGTGCAATTGTGTTTTGTAGGGTTATTAGTCACAGCAGGCTGTGAATTGGTTGGGAGCACCACAGCTTTTCTTCCATTCATTTTTAAAAAAAAATGTTCTGATAAAGGCAAAGGGAAAAATCCTCCTGTTGCTCAGTCTCTGTAAAATGTAAGGCGTATCAACGCTGCCATTTGAGGAGCACACCCTTAATAAGACAATGACACAGGACCCTGACTTCTCAAAATACCCAGGGAGGTTAGCTGAGTTCTGAGATGGGTTTTGGTTTTCAAGTTTAAAGAATTATTTTTAAAGGGTAGGATGCATGCCTTTTAGTCTTATTAAGTTTCTGCTGCTAAGGCAGGAAGGGAAGTGGTCCATGAATAGCAGACACCTTTAAGTGTATAAGGTGTGTAAGTGTATAAGGTGTGTAAGTGTATAAGGTGTGTAAGGTCCTTCTAGCTCACACCCCAGTTCAGTGCTGAGGAGATAGTTCAATAGATAAAACTGCTTGCCACAAGAGGATCCCAGTTCGTATTGCCAGCACCTATGTAAATGTCAGGCAGATGTGGTGGCCCACCTGTAACCTCAGTGAGGAAGTCAGAGCAGAGGATCCCTGGAGCAACCTGGCTGGCTACACTAGCCAAACTGGCAAGCTCTGGGTTCAAATGAGAGACCCTTCCTCATTACATGAAGTGAAGCATGAAGATACCTGATGTCAACTTCTGGTCTTTACAAGCGCATGCACACACACACGTACCCCACACATGTGAAAGTCTGCACACATATGCATGCACAGCACTCCATTACACATAAAATACACTTAAAAAGGATTCTTGTCCATGGGCTAGCTGAGGATATACGTGGGGTGTACATTATCATCTACTTGTAGACACCTGTCCCTTTTCTGGGCACTTACACGGTGTACATAGCGAATTGCTTTTTTTTTCTAGTTAAGAAAAATAGAATGAATCTACTGGAATGCTCTCAAGTCTGAGATTGGAGTGCCTACCTTCTAAGTGCATTTACTGATTCACCAGCCCAGCACTGAATTTTTGTTACTTTTCTACTTCATTTGCTGTTTTTCCTCCCAGCTTTGCTCTGTGTACAGTGGTGGGAGTTAGGTATATGGCAGAAGCTTGGATATATCTAGGCTTTGCCATGCCTTTGGTGCCAACCCCTCCTCTCTCCACTTCTGCCCCCTGTGGTATGTGGAGTGCTAGCCTAAATCCCCTGCCAGCTTCATGGGCCACTGGGCACTTGTCCCTCATGTACCTGTGTTACCTGCTCAGTGCTGTGTGCTTCCTTTTTCATGGCACACTATTTGGCATATTTAACCATGTATAATTTTTTTAAAAAGTAAAACTACTGCCCACTTAAGATTTTGGGAGAAGACATGAAGCTAAGTTGTAGATGCCATGAAACAATATTCATGAAAAAAAGCTGCCCGAAACACACAAGCTATCAGCTGTATTGAAAAGTTCTGATCACCGTATCTTCATGATAGAAATAATCAGTTGGAATGAACTCTGCAGTACATTGGTATATATATGTGGGTGCGCATGAAGTGTGCATGTTCAAAGCAATCCATGCATATAGAGGCCCAAGGACAACTTTGGGTGTTGTTCCTCAGGATCTGTGTCTACCTTGGCTTTTGAGTTTTCTGCTGACCTAGAACTCACCAAATCTTGTTGGCTGTTTTATTTCTCTAGTGCAGGGATAACAAGTGTATACCATCACACTGGAGTTTTTAAAATGTGGGTTTTAGAGATTGAACTCAGGTCCTCATGCTTGCGAGACAAACACTTCTTTACCATTAAGACATCTCCCTAATCCCAGGGCAGCTTTTAAAGACAGGATCCTGGCTGGTCTAGAACTCTGTGTAGATCAGGCTGGCCTCAAACTCAAGAGATCCATCTGCCTTGTTTCTTGAGCGCTGAGATCAAAGGTATGTGCTACCACGCCCAGCAACTCCCAGAACAGTTTTTGTTGAGTATATATTCTGTGTTCCAGTCCTGGAGTTCTCAAGATTACCTGGAGAAGTGAATGGTGAGTGCAGAGATGACGGTGGTCGTGAATAGGGCAGTGCTGGTCACTCTCTCTGATGTAGCTTTGCTGCCTGTGGACCAGATTAAGATCAAGGCTCGTGCCTGGTGCTCCTGGCTTTGGTGGTGCTTTCCAACTGCTGACTCCATTGCCTCCTAAGACCTCCTTGGCCATGGTGATTTAGTGCTTTACCTACTACCCTCCATAACCTATGATTTGCTCATTCAAGCCTGTCTTCTGCAAACCTTCCCGTGTTTCAGGATTCACTTAAGCTCCCATCTCCTCTGAAGAACTTTTGCTAAGCATTAGGCTCCAGTGAGTCCTCCATCTGTGACCCTGGGGAACCTGTCCATACCTCTGAAGTTGTCACTGGTATAGGACCTTCAGGGTAAGGTTAGAGATACAGTAGGTGCCCTAGAAATCCATGTCAGCTGATGACTGCTATAGTCTTAGACCATGTATTGAAACCAAGGCAGTGCTCTGGAGGTTGTTGATAGTGAAGGTAGGAACCTGGGATTTCACTTAGCCTCTCCACTTTGCCCCCAGACCATCTCCACAGTGACCTCTGGGCACACAATCTGGGGGAGATTACCTTTAGCTACCAAAGGCTAAACCTTTGTGTAACACAGGGAGAATGGTTCAAACATGCAATGTCTGTTACCTCAACTATTTTAATAATCAAATCATTTAAGCACAACTACCAATTCACTCAGCAAGCAGCATAATTGGAAGGGGAGCCGAGTTTGAAGCTGGCGGCTTGAGATGACAGCCCGACTAGGGTCACATAAGTCCTTATCTTTGTGTCACACATCTGATCACTTGAGAATCTCTAGGAAAATGATAAAAGGGTTAAGCACTGAGTGGCGTCTTATCACATCTGCAGGACAAGAGCCGGGGATAACGAACACACACCAAGATAGACTGCCACAGGCAGGCTCAGAACATTTGAATCCACTCAGATTTGCAGACTGCACACACCCCTTGGGGGAATGGTTCCCATAAAGGTGGGAGACTGCTAAGACATACCTGATTCATTTGGTTTGTACTGGAATTGGTCTTGGAGCTGCCTGGTCTCTTGCTCTGCACCATTATGCCACACTGTTGCTGTCTGCACCCAAAAGTTCTCATCTGTAGACTTGGCAAATGTGAAGCCAAAGAAAGTGTCTAAAACCAACTATCTGCACTAATTGTACATTTTAAAAACCACCCCCTAGTTATACTACACATTTGCATTGTGTTGGATACCATAAAGTTGAATTGAAATGTACATGGAGATAGAGTCTATGCAAACACAGTTCTACATAAAGGACTTGACCAGCTGTTGTGGCTGGGAGGTGAATATCCACTGGTGAAGTTCTTTAAACCTGTGTGCCTACTTTCTCAACTTCTCACCTATGCTTATTGTGAAGCTAAGGCTTTCGTCTACTTGTAGTCATGTTCCTGAAAGGATGTCAGGCTTGGCCCACGGCTGGCAGGAATAATGATGCCAGGACTTCTTGCTGAGGGTGCTTTGGAAAGAAAGTATCATTTTTTGTGGATATTTTTTCCTTTTGCAGTTATGGGCAAAGGACTTTTACATACACATTTGTGCTAAAAAGAAGGCAGCTAGGATGTGGAGAGAGATGGTCTGAACATCACATTTGTGAACAAAGCCCTGGGATGTTTGACCTGGGAAACTAAAGGGCCATGGCAAAATGTAGTCTTAACAAATTGTAAGACAATCTGTGTAAGTGGTTACCATCAGAACAAGAGCCATAGTTGAGTAAGAGTGGATTTCAGTTCCAATTCCCTCTATTTCTTACAAGAGTTCCCTTCAAACATCTTCATGAAGTTCCCTGTAGTGGCAGTCTATAAAATGGGAGTTGCAATGCAGTCTCCAGCTCCCAACTCTTACAAGACTCAGTTTAACTTTTATTGAACCCAATCCACCCATCCTTTGTTTCACAAAACTCAACTTCCACCTACAACAGGTCCAATGAACACATCCCAGAGACTACTTCTTGCCTATTACCTAAAACTTTTCACTAAGTGGAGAATTTGAGATTTGAAGGTCAAGAAATGGCAATTGCTTTCAAAATAGTAACAATTAACAGCAGTGGGTTAAAACCATCATATCTTTACAAAGCGAGAAGTTCATGTACTTGCATTTTGCTTTCAGGCTATCCTCATGGACCACAACTGCCCCATTAAAACAAAAATGTACACTCAGAATAATGTCCAGTCGTATCCCATCGGCGAGGATGAAGAATCGGAAAGTGACTGAGACCCTCTACGTTGGCAGGTGCCTAACTGTGTATCAGTGTCTCCAGTGAAACGACTCGTGCAGACCTGTCTTCATCACATCATCCATTCCTGGCAAAGAGTAAAACAACCAAAGGTGATACTTTCTTTTCCATGGTTATGACCGACTGCCAACAGCCTTATAAAGAAAAAGCAGCTTTTCTAGGGGTTTGTATAAATAGTGTTGAAAACTTTATTTTATGTATTTGGTTTTATTAAATATTATACAATATATTTTGACGAAATAGGTATATTGTAAATGTATAAATATTTGAATCCAAATCAAATATAATTTTTTAACTTACATTCACGAACACTTGGACAAAAAAATCTTGTATTTTTTCTGAATACTGGTAATGAGTGTTTAAAGCACACATTATCTGAGACTCTCCAACAAGAAACTAGAGGTCTGAGAAACAATCATGCAAGACAGTGTCGTTATGTGGCAGCACTGAATGCGTTGCTACTTAACGTGTAATTAGTATCGATGTTTTTGAGTTAAAGGCTAGTCATTTCAAGCACAGAGGACAAGAAATTGTGTCAGCCATCTTTCAGACGTATTCATAAACCTTTGCTGGCATTGGTTTTCTGTTATCACCACCTACCTGGAAATGGATGGTTGTAAATTCTGTTTCCTGTGTCATGTCATTGGCAACAATCATTAAAGCCAACAAGGGGTAAAAGTAAATGTTCTGAAAGTAGAGAAAAGAACTCAAATGTTGCCTTCTTTGAAAGATATAGATTTAATAGTCTTACTGGGTGAAAATAAAGTATGTATTTGTACACTGGCAAGGTTAAGCATGGTATGATTTACCAAACCTAGTTCCTGTTTTGGGAAAGGAAACAAAGGCTATTGAGCTGCTATGTGAACAATCAGACTATCACATCTTTATCTACCTGTAGGTCATCCAAGTGTTTTTCTAGAGGTTTCTTAATTTTGAGTTGCTTTTATTTTTTAGACTCCTAAAAGTTGTTCCTATCAATGTAGAAATGAATTCCAAACAAGGATGAAGGGATGAAATTGTTCATGTCTAACATTAGTATGTTAAGAAAGATACTAGGGTGATCAGGGCACTTTCCCTTTCTGGAGCAGAAAACCATCTACAAATGTGCATGTTGTTGTGTCATCCTGTGTGTGGAGTAGAATAGTTTTTCTAAGCATGCCAACACTGATGTACCTTTTCAGTGTGCCAGCATCAGTGAAACTTATCTGTAGCGCTTTGTATGAGATTACAGCCTCCCAGAATATAAACACAGTGTGGAATATGTCTCAAATAGTACATGTCAACTCTGCAGTTGTTAAAAAAAATACCTGTCAGTTTTGTTAATCTGAATTGTGTTTGTGTGACCCTGGACATTAAGAGAACTTTAGGACAACAACCCCTCAACCTTATTGGCTATTACACATTCGTTAGGAAAGTGGCTAATACTTCTTTTGCTTTATGAATCTTTCTGGGGACCTTGGTGATTTGAAGTCATGTGTTTGAGGGAAACAGGTTCCTATTCATGAAACTGCTGGATAGTCACAAGGTCTGCAGCTCTGAAAGATGGCTGGAGAGAAACTCTCACGTGACTGAAATCAAAAGGTGGGACTTGCGCTTCGTCAGGACAGCTTTAGTGTGCTTAGAGAGGCCTGTAGTTCTCCTTGCCCACAGTACCACATGCAATAATTGATGCTGGTGTCGTTTCTGTTCTGAGGGGTCATCAAGGATGACTAGCAAAGGCATGCCAGTTACTCCACTCCACAGGGAAAAGACAAAATAAAACATTCAGAACGTTTTAGAGAGCAAAAGATAACTTGTTTCCAAGGGGAAGGTAAATACATTTATATGACTAATATCCTGGGTACACAAGATTGAAAATAGGGTGTTTAAAAATACTGTGCATGTTCCAGAAAAAGAACTTATAACTCTGAACATTTTCACAAAGTAGAGGTTGCTTTTGTTTGTACTTGGTAATTCAGACTCACAAACCTTAGTGAGGTAGCAATGGATACGAAACTTCTGACTGCTAAGTGTATCTCTCTGTCCTAGCTGCACTTCAGCTAGGTTACTTAATAAATCTTCTCCAACACTGTGCTGTGCCTGCCTGTGTTCTTTCATCAACACTGCTGCTGGAATAAAATACATACACACTGTTTCGGCTGTAGATGTTTAATTAGAAAGCATTCTCTGTATCTGCGGGCACCAGGCACAACTCACTCCAGGCTAGGGTGAACCGTTCTCTTTGCCTTTCCACAGTCTGTTTTAAATGAAACATAGGACTTGTTATAGCCTATCAGTGTGGAAGAACAGTGAGCTGTCCAAAAATTGTTCTAATTGCTATGAACAGATAAATTATCTGGTGAGGAGAGCTGTGACATCAAACCATTCAACAGAACAGGCTCTGGAAGATCTAGAAATTAGGATCACTTTGAATGGGGTAGACATGGTAGTTTCCAGGATTAGGGTGGCATGCTGTTTTACTCAGACCTTGAGGAACATAAAGGAATCAAAAAGGATGAAGGTAATCCCCCTTTCCACCGTTCTTTGCTTTTTTTTTTTTTGGAGGGAGGGGATAAGGAAAACCATCACCTCAATTTAGAAATTAATGCATCTTTTAAAAATTGAAGTGATTTCAAACTTACTTTAGAGAACTTAAAATTTTAAACTCTATTTTCTTACTATTACAATCAAATATATTCAAAATGTTTTAAAAAATTTTTTTAGATAGATTTTACTCTCAAAATTTTAGACTGTTCTTTTTCTTAGAATGAGAAAGTATCTACCCAATAAGTTCTAGTATTGTTGAATAAACTCTGATACTAAGAAATATAGCACAGCTGGATGTGATGATACATGCCTTTAATCTCAGCACTCCAGAGGCAGAGGCAGGAAAATATCTGTTGAGTTCGAGGCCAGCCTGATCTATACAATGAGTTCCAGGACAGTCAGACCTATAGAGAAAGACTGTCTCAAAAAGCCAACACAATAAATAAAAAAGAAACATACATATTATGATTGCAAAATACTAAGATGTTGTTCATTTTGTCTAATCCAGTCATTCATCTAAATACCAATGAAGAGAACACACTTTAAATAGTCCAATTTTTCTTTCCTGAGACATGTCTCACTATGCTTATTACATACTATAGCATTAGAAAAAAAATCCATACATCTGTTTCAAAAGGTAAGGTAGCAACAGTAAGTTTGAATGCTTTTGCAAATTTGTTTAGTAAAAATGGATTGTTAGCTTGTCTGCATGGCCAATTACATCAGGTATAATGCCACAGGGATGAACCAATCACCTCGTTTTCAGATGTCATCAAATGAAGATATTCTTATTTTCTGTGGTAGTCTTTATTATTATTTTAGCTATTGATAACATAGCATGGCAGCAAGATTACATGAGTAATGTAATATAATACAACCTTTTAAACTGAAGCCTTATCCCTTACTATTCTCTAGGGTATTTGGAGTTTCCCCTCCTTCCCTGCTCTAAAGTACAACTGTGATGCCTCTACTGTCTCTCCTAATAGAAAAATATTGCACGACATTAAAGGTCTATTTTACAAACACCATTAGCAGCACTGTCGAGCTTTCCATGATTGTGGTTCTACAGAGATAAATACTTTGAAGCATGAGTAGATTCTTAGAACTAAAGCTTTGCATTACTTCTATAGTTCTTTCAAAGTCATTGCAGGAGCATGCTTGGGCATCGCTAAAACGTCCATGATTTATCTGTATACATACCAGCCACTTACAGACGCATCACCTTCAGGCAGCAATGGCAAGTTACTGTTTACAAGATGAAACATGGCTATACATCAGGCAGATTGCTTCAAGCATAAGATGTGGAGCAACATTTTAGCTTCTGGGATTTGTTGTGGAAAGCAGGGGTGGGGTGGGGATTACACAGATAGCAAAGTTTGTGTCCTAGTGTTCACTTAATAACAAGAGTTAGCTATTGAATTTAAAGCTAGAATAACCTTCCACACTCAACAACGCTTTTCTCATGTAATACCTTTTATGTCCGCCGCTTTCTTCTGTTCAAAGCACTTTTGCAGTTATGCTCCTGTTTGCCTCACAAGCCCGCAGGTAGAGCAAGTACCTTCGGAGACAGAGAAGCTGTGTGACCCTCTGTGCCCTGCCTATGCTGCAGTGCTCACTCAAGACTGGACCATTCTCTTTACTATATCATACTACAACTTTTCCTGCATCAAAAGAGCTGTTCCATAGTTTTAAATTAAGTTGGTTTATGTGTTATCATAGTGTTATTGTAAAAGGGAAAAATGCTTTTCTATTCTATAGGTATAACAGGCCCAGACTTTTAAAGATACATCAATAGGGGTCAAGCTCCCATATTTCTCTCAGTTGTGTGTTATTAGCATCCATTAGATGAACCCAGTACCACAGTAGGCCTTCATTTTTAGAGAACTAGTCCCAAATCCTATGCACACTGTCTATTTTTATTTTTCTTTACAATGAATGATGATGGTCTGAATTATTAAAGAATTCAGAATGACTGACATTCCTTTAAGGCCACAGACACCAAAGGATTTATGTAGTAAACATATTCTGTATAATTGCCCTCCACAGCATAGTCCTACATTAAAAATTTTTTTCAAACGAAGCAAGTTATCAATGCAGCCATTTTCTGAACAAGTCCTGTGAAATTTTAAATATCCTTATACATGCTTTATTTCCTATGGGAGAACCAAAGATGAAAAATCATCATGAATGTTCATAACTTCCATTTAAAAGGAAAGCATCAACATTTGAAAGATATTTCAAAATCCTACTGGCAACTGTTCTTCAGTAATAAAATCTTGTTATCCTCTCTACAAAATTCTTCACCAACTAGATATTGCATTTATCCTCTATTCAATGCAACTTCTTAGCTAATTACTATAATTTTACTATACTTCAACTGCATAAAAGCTTTAAAAAATATCACAGAAGCATAAGAAGCAAGCAATATACGTAAAAAAAACTAAATCAGCATAACATTTTAAAGCTGCACTGTTTGCTTTCATTTGTATTTGGCAACAACAACAAAACAAAATAAAACAAAACAAATCCTCCCAAACCCCATATTACAAAAACCTCACGCAAGTACGGTTGACAAACCTCAAAACATAGAAGAAAGAAGATTCAATTCTGTTCCCTCAGTGATTACTGCTGTCAATTTAGGCATGCAACAAATTTGCTGTTATAACCGTGATGAATGAGAATGAAAATATTTCAGGAATCTGGACAGGATCTTACTTAACATTAATTCAATAACCAGGAGGAAAGAAAAAAAAAAGGACAGTGAGACATCACAATACATAAACACAAAGTTAGCTTACATAATTAGAAAAGGTTAAAAATAAATTAATAAAACCCAATTCCCAGTATAAACCCCAAAACCATTAAGAATAAGCACAATCCAAAACAACCAGTTTGGTGAGCTCGTCATGTTTCTGCTGGAAAACCACCTTTCATTCTTATACAAGCAAGCAACTGTAGAAGTAGGCCAAAGCGCACCACAAGAGAACTGAAACATGGCTGTATCCGTGGCACGCCAGATCCACTTTGTCCCCAACCACTTCAAAGTTTAATTTGTCTGCTACACAGACTCTGATGGGCCAAACAAGTCATCCGAGATGCTGCTGAACGGCTGAGAGTCGATCAGTTGGCTTATTTCACTATCAAGGTCTTCTTCCGTATCGTCTGTGTACTTGTTTACCTTTTTCGAGTGCTGGTCTAAAGACAGGCTCTCTAGGGTCTCAATGTCTTCAATGCCTGCCCTGTAGTGGATCATCAGGAGGGTCAGAGCTTGTAGTCTTTCACCTGATTTAACCAAGGCAGCAGAAAGAAGTGATTTTTTCCTTGTATCAGTTGTTTCTTTTTCTTCTCTAACAAGGGAATTATTGTGTTCCAACTCCTGATCAATTTCATTCTGCAGTTTATCCAGCATGAACTCTAGCTTTTGGATCCTTTCTTCTGTTGGCAAGCCTCTATACAGATCACGGCCGATTTCTTTCACTGCAATGAAAACACTGTCATCCAGCCCACCTTCCTTTCTCACCAACTTTATTCCCGCGCCGTGCCCTCGTTTGGAAGGACTGTTTGGACCACACACCTCTGTGTCACTCCCTTCATTGTCTGATGTGTTGGGTGTGTGCTTTGGTGATGGTTCCACAAGATCTGTTCCTGGTTCAGAAACACGAGTTTTAGAGACTTGACGCAAATTTAGTAAACGAGAGCTAGTATTAATAATGTGCCTTGTCAAGCCTGTTGTTTTATGGACTGACTTGTTAGCTTCCATCTCCACACGAGGGGGAAGGCCCATGAGTGGTTCCTGTCCCTCCAACCTGAGGTTTTTCAGGGTCCGGTCTACTCGCCTCTCAGTTGCTCCACAAAGAGGTGTCTCAGCTAGACACTTTTCTTGACATTTTTTATGACAAACATAAGCACAGAACATACACTGGGAAGCAGCTTTTGTCCAGACTTTTTTCTTACAGTAATCGCACCAAGTTGGGTTTTGGAACTGAGTATCCTGGAAACTATGTTTATTTTCTGACAAACTCATCTGTCCCACAAAATGTTCCTCTTTAGGGAGTGATGAAACTTCCTCAATCAAATGGAGTTCTTTTTCTTTCTCTATGTTAGGAACGATGTGGTGGTCTGGTTCTCCTTCCTTCAAATATTTGAAATGAATAGTAATGTCACCAAAACAAAATTTGTCGTTGAAGCCCTTTTGCATACTCAGATTGCGCAGTGCAGTTCTAGTGACCATGGCCTTAGGAGCAGGGGCTTCCAGTCTGAACTTTGAAAGGTATTCCATGTTTGATGTAGCCAGGCAACCTAAAGCCACCTCTTCAAGTTTTAAACTAACATGCCCCAAACAGATGAGGCCTCCTAACTTGAAAGGATCCCTGCACCACAGTGCAATGTTCAGGTACCTGTGGCAGGCTTCTATGTCGAACAAACAGGATGCTCTGGTTCTTGACCACTTTCCCACCTTATTACGATAAAGAACCTCTGATGATTCCCACATCTGATGGTCGTCCGAAGTGTCCTTAGTAGGACCAGAACTTTCTGAAGTAACATCTTTTACTACTTCTTGCTTTGCTGAAGACAGCTTACCTGTTGCCCCATCTTCTCCATGATCCACACTCTTCACTTGCTTTTCAGCAGGTTTCTCTGCAGGAGGAGGAGGGAGCAGCACCTTCTCTGGCTTCTCAACAGCATCCGGGTCTGCCTGAGTTGGAGTGTCAGTGGAAGGCAAAGCAATCTTCACTTGTGGTCGTGGTGGCACAGGTGGTTTGAAAGTGGATCCCTGGGGTTTGGACACTGGTGCTGCTTCTGTGGCCTCTGAAGTTTTTACAGCTGATGGTTTATTTCCTTCTTTAGATGGAAGCTTTTGTGGTGGTGGATGGATTCCTGAAACTAATTTACGATTTAAAACTGGGGATATAGCGCCAAGGGGTTTAATAGAAAGCGTGGTTGGAGTGCGCTTGGGACTGGGACTCAAGGGCTGTGCCTCCTCTTTGAACTCTGTTTGTACTCTGACATCACTTGCCAAGTCTTCAAATTCCGAATCAAGGTCTCTGTTTTCAGTATCCACTGGCAACCCAGCAGCTTCTTCTTCATAACCTGGCTGGCAGGCACTTGACAAAAAGTTTTCTTCCAACTGGCCCAAACTGTCTTGCAGCACGGCCCCTTGGTTACTCTGGCCGACAGGTCTTTGATAGTACACCAGGACTCGGTCACCAGCCTGCTTGATAAGCTTCAACACCTGCAGTGTCGATGTGATTTTCACACCTGGTTAAGATTCAAAGGGGAAAACATGCAAATTACTGAAATAAGACTTACCTACACTGCCTTTACCTCATGATTACTTAATAAATGGAAGAGGAATAAGGAAATCTCAAAAAATATTTCACTTAAATTTTGAATTAATCAGCACAGAGTGCCTGGAACTACTATTTCCTGGATGATACAAAAATCCTGAGCAGCTGCTAATTCCTAGCAGCTTCCCATTTCCTCTTGGCTTCAACAAGAATGTGTCCCAGTTGAATTGCTGAAGTGAGCAGAGGCCTATTTAAACAGGTTTAATAAGGGGTAAACCACACTTTGAATGATGGAAAGCAGTCATTTTACTGAAGAAAATTCTCAAATAACTCCAGGAATTGTAAGCAAATGGTTCAAATTTAGAAAGCCAATGTCTGAAGTAAATATAAGAAACAGAATATTATACTATAAATAACAGACCCTTTCACAGATCCTGTTGATTAGCCATATACATGACGATCAACCTCTCTAAGAAGGGAAGAGAAGAGGTAAGATGCTTTCAAGGTAAACAAGTTGATTCCAATGCACATTGTCCTGTCCTGACTCAAATCAACTTGCTACTGCCCTCTTAACCCCGTTCCTGGAGACAGCTGACTTCCATGTTCTCTGAGCTGTCAATCCCAACTCAGAGCTCTGGACCCTTGGCCTTTGGAGTTCTATCTTCCACTCCTGACCACTGGCCTCAGCTATAGTCAGAAACAGCCTTGAACTGCAACGTCTCGTCTGACCTTTCTGCTCTGATGCCAGTGCTGCCAGGTTTTCCAGTGGAATTCTGAATTTCCATGAGATTCCTCACGGGGATCTTCCTGACTCAGCTTAGTAACTTGACTACTTTCATCCAGGAATACTGTGTCCCAGAAGTACGGCAGCTTGTCACATGCACAAATGAAGCGTCACCTAATGTGCTCTCTAGTAAGTACACAAAAGTTTCACCCCAATCTTCACTTCTTTATTTGTGCTGTGGGAAAACTTGCCCTCATATCATTTTGGGTGCTTTGTGAAGGTGGTCACTATACCAGGGTTTGCTCATCTGGAATCTGAATTTTTCTTTCAGGATATTTCAAATACCTTCCAGGATATTTCAAACATGCTCATAAATTTAGAAAGCAGCAAAATTAACTCTATTTTGAACCTAAACATAGCATTTTGCCAATCTTATTCCTACTACTACTATTCTCCTATTATTAAAACTATTGTAAATTCAAATGAATTATAATTATTTAAGAAATACCAATTAACATTGGGCAAAGTTTATGACAAGTTTATGACTTTTAAAAGAAATAAGAGTTACTAAAATATACTGTAGGACTTGAATTTGTGTGCAATGGTTGGGACAAGGAATTTATTTATTTACATGAGGAGGGGCACTAAAAACGGTTTCTACGGCACTAGAGAGATGGCTTCAGCAGTTAAGAGAGCTTCTCTTTCAGAGGACAGTTTGATACCTAATAGCCACATTGTGGTTCATAACCTCTGTATCTCTCATTCTAGGAAAGGTGACTCCTCCTATTGGCTTCTGCAGATGCTACATGTATCTGGTGCATGGATATACATGCACATAAAACACGCATACACATTAAATAAAAAATAAAGTTTTTTTTGTTATGTTTGAAACTTTAGCAGCAAATGTGTATAATACTTGACTTTTCAATCAATAAAAGTTGTACTTTTATGAATGTTGGATATCTTAAAAAAGGTAATTTTTGCTTTTTCTTTCTAAATATTTATATGGCTTGGACTTTTTATTTTGGATAATAGGTGTTTGCTGCTTGAGCAATTAAAAACAGAACTTAAAAGGCACATTTAAAAGTTAAAGAAATAATTAAATAAAACATGTAGGTAAGCCCAAAACAGAATATGTATTAATGCAAAAGCATTTATATTGAACCATGGTTTTGCTGAAGGAGACAAACTTTTCGTATTTATACAGATAGCTATGTAATGGATGAGTCTATGTCCTAAGTGTCCATGAGCCAGGAACACTAAAACAACCTGCAGGTGGTGGTGGTGCATGCCTTTACACCAGTATTTGGGAGGCAGAAGGTGTATCTCTTGAGTTCAAAGTCAGCCTGGTGTACAGAGCAAATTCCAGGACAGCCACTCAGGGCAGCCAGGGCTACACAGAGAAACCCCATCTTGAAAATCAAACAAAACAAAAAAGCAAAACACAAACCAAATAATCAAAAAGTAGAGAGAAATGCAGATTCTTAGACCCTACACCAAGTTTTCTGAATCAGAATGACTTCTAAATACTAGTGCTTGGTGACTGTGGTATGAAGGGCATTGTGCATGCCATGATCAGAGGGATTTCCACATGAAAATGCTTACTTCACTGACCTCCAGGTATGTAACTAAGTTGTTTTCATTATCTCAATGTCAAGATGGACTTGAATCAAAGCAGCTTTCTCTACTATAACCAAGGATAACTACTTTTTTACTGGGACCTGCACTACTTTATTGTCTTAGCCTGAAAGAACACAATATTCCTAAAAGAATAATTATATCCAGTTTATGTGTTCAAAGCCTACAATATGTGGGCCAGTACTATGAAGTCTGAAAAGACCTGGATTATTCTGTGCTGCTGTGCACAGATGAGTTCTATTGTTAGGTATATATACTCAGGCAAATAATTTGCCTCGATTTTTATTTTTATTATTTACAACAATCCAGACTACAGGAAGGTATGCAGTATGCAGGTTACATATTTACCACAGATTTGGAATGGATTCTGAATACCAGCACACTAACAAACCACTGGCATTCGAGCCTCAGAACAGTATTGGATGTACCCTTCCTCTTCAGCAAGGAATATAATCTCTCTCCTACTAATTTTCTAGTCCTACAACAAGAAGTGAGTGCTGCTAATATCAGCATTTTAGAGTCACGGTGGTGACAGATGTACAGGAAGGGATAACTTGCTCTTCATTTCACATTCAATAGTAAGCACAGAGGAGGAGGAGGGAAGGGAGAGCAAACTAGACAAGTTCTAGTAAAGCGCTTTCCAGATAAATTATGTTAAAGACTTAGAGATTAGGACTAACCTGGCAAACATTTTACAAGTGCATTAAGGTATATTTTATAATTCTGTTTATAATGATGCTTTTCTGTTATAAAACTAGCAAATGCTTGTTTCAGATATAGGGAGAAGGAAGAGAGAAAAGCCCCCAACCTCTTTTGTAGTTTCTCTGTGCACACCACATCATACTTCACAGTGTGTAATTACCTCCAATTGCAATGAGCCGGTCTCCTCGCTGAAGATCTGCAATTGCAGCAGGTGAGTTTGGGGCCACGGTTTCAATTATGACATGCCCAGCATACCCATCAGTTGACTGAACAAGACGAAGTGTAAGTCCCACACTCTGTAAATTCCCTTTTATTAATTCAACCTTTGATAAAGGGTTAAGAAAAAGAAAGAAAACATTAAGGTAACAGTAAGAGAACATAGCAGTCAGTCACAGTTTTTGAAACATGGTGACTATATTTACAGATAAATGAGGGCTGACACCATTACTGTAACAGTATAAATTAGCACATTTCCAGATTATGATAACTTGAAAGTTGCCTATGCTCCGGTGTATGGCCTCATACCCATGTGCATGCAAACAACACCAGCTGGACCAAGTAGATTATCTTTAAAGGGAGGAGGTGGAACAGAAGATGATAATGAACATGAGAGGAACATGTTATGCGGTGGTCTGGGTGAGGAGCTATTGGCTGTGGAGGGAGAGAGTTATTTTTCTTTGGGTGTGTGGCCATCACTAGTAGTTTGCCCATGCACTTATGATAAGCAGTAATTGGACTCAGTGAGTTATTAAAAATTAAGAGGACGTGAAGTTGGTAGAGAGAATGTGTCGAGGAGGGTCTGAGAAAATTGGAGAAAGGAGTGAGAAGAGAACATGATCAAAATACCTGGTATACATGTATGAAATTCTCAAAGAATAAAAGTATATCAAAAAAAGAAGATATGAAGGTGGGAGAGGAAAGGAAGTATGGGAGACACTGGTCCTGGGGGAGGTGGCAGAGAGAATTTTGATTGAATATGATCAAAACATATACATCAAATATCAAAATATATACTTTCATGAAATTGCCAAACAATAAATAACACAATGAAATCAGTATATCTTTTTAAAGTAACTACACTTATAGTAAAACATTTGGAATAAACGACAACAACAAAATGCTCCTAATCATACTCTCTAGAATTACTGTTAGAATTTGCATTTGCCTATACTTTAATACAAAATTGAGAACTGTGTCAAAACTGAGACATGGTGAATACAATCATATACTGTGAATATAATCCTGAATATTTATTTTCTCAAATTCAGTGGGAATCATCTATGTCATTAGATGGGCTTTGGAACTCTACTTTTTATGGTGTAGAACTGGACTTCTATTTTCAAGCAACAATGCATCAAAAATATTAAGGGTCTGGAGAGTAGGCTCGGCACTTAAGAGCCCTGGGTGTTATCCCAGAGAACCAGGGTTTAACTCCTAGAACCTTATGGTGGCCCACAACAGTATGTAACTCCAGTTCCAGGAGACATGATGCCTCCTTCTGTCTTCCACAGACAATGCACAGATGCGTTACACAGACATAGGTGTAGGCAAAACACCCATACACATCATAACATAAAATCTTTAAGAAAATTTAAAGCTGGGTGTGATGGCATACACATAATCACAGCTCTTGGAAGGCAGAGGCAGGCAGATCTCTGTGTTTGAGGCCAGCCTGGCCTATATAATGAGTTCCAAGACAGCCAGGGCTACACAGATAAACCATAGAAAGAAAAGAGAAAAAAGAAAAAGAAAAAAAAAGGGAGGGAGAAAGGAGATATTAAGAAAAACATTTCATATGTACTGACAGTGTACAGTGTACACAGACTTTCTTCCTCATCATTATTCCTTAAACAACACACTGCTGGATTTTCTATAAGGATGTAAAGGAAGAGAGTACAGATATGTTTTACTAATCTGATGAATGAGATGCAGTATTCTTTAGACAACATCTCTCAGTCATGCTTTTTAAGGATTTGTTTCTAAAATTCCTGCTAATATCCAAGGATATCTATCTCTGTTTTTAGGGCTTTAGTACATAAACTATGCTTAGTTAGAAATTCACTTTTCCTAATTGGTGACTGGTAGTTGGTAAGATGGACCTTATTACAAACTGTTCTTTAGTTTTTGTGTTGATAGGTTTTACAAACTATTAGAGATTTATTTTTTGAGACAGGGTCTCTTGCAACACAAGCTGGGGTTCAAAGCATGTAGAGGCAGCAAGCCATGAACTCCTGGCTACCAATGTTCAAACTTAGCTACTGGCAGTTCTTCATGAACATGCTTACCTAATCAAATGTTAATGTTACACCGATCCCAAACACAGATAAGGAAAAATCAAGAAAACAAAGCTAAACAACAGTGTCTGTAATATTCAAATATGGATGAAAAAATAAATCCATTTCAGTAATATAACAAAGTATAATAAATTTAAATGAGCTTCACTGTAGTAATTAGAGGTTAATAACCACTCAGGAATCAATTAGTTTACTACATCCATAAATATTTTAACAAATATAAAAGAAAACCCATTTAGTTCAACACTCATTCATAAGAACCCTCAGACACCTAGAAATACAAGGGAACTTCCTAAGCTTGATTATGAGAAACTACAAAAAATCCACAAACAACACAAAGCCCAAAGATGAGAGAATTTTTAATGTTTCCTGCCTGATTAACAAAACATTTCTATTACTGAATCAACACTATACTAGAGGACTTCACATAACAAAGGAAAGGGGGGAATATGAGGCTTGCAAAGGAAGGGAAAAGCCTGTCATATGTGTTAGGAATATTTCTTAACATGAGCTCTCTGCCAACGCCAAAAATCCCAATCAAGCCAAATCACAAGAAGCCGAACTAAAGAATATCCAGGTTTTAATGGGATTCCTGCGCTCTTGGGGGGGAAGTGCGCCTGGTTTTGGCAGACCACCTTGGCCCTCCTCAGGGAGGGATCAAGATTCGAAGGGCACAGGGGCGGGGCCTCCAAAGATGGAGGCCTGAGACGGGGACTTACAATAAGCTGGTAGCAAGACCTTATAGATGGACAATCCTTCCAATATGTCAATTTTGTCTTAAGATACCTAACTCATAGAGCTATTTCAGATAAACCCTAGGTTCTTAATTTACTCCATTTATACTGGATTAAACCAGATAAAGTTAGAAAAAGTAAAAAGTCTGCAAAAACACATTCTAAGTTTTTATTTTATTGCTATGAAAATAATTAGAATAAAATTCCAAATTTCTAAGGACTGATTCTTATTTATATGTGTGTGTATGCCTTAAAGACATCTAAATGTGGTTAACATACATGTTTAGTTACATATTGTGTGTGTATATACACACACACACACACACACACACATACATACATATATTACTTAAAGAGGCTGGAAGAGAGTTCAGTCATACTGTTCACTTTGTAAAGATGACCTGAGTTCAATCCCCAGAACTCCCCCCCCCCCGCCAAAAAAAACCCCTGCAGCATGGTGGTGTGAGGTAGAGACAAGAGGATTACTGGGTTTTGCTGGCTGTCTAGCCTAATTGGTGAATTCCAGCACAGAAAAGGGAGGGAAAAGATAAATACAAATAAGGCAGCAAGGCAGTCAGCACCGCTAGAACATCTCGCTCAAAATCCCTTTGGATTGTGGAAATTTGCCTTTGCTTTTCTTAGAAAACTATGAAAACCTAGTTTCCTCACTGTCCCAACCAAGCATCAGGACAGATGCGGGGGGGGGGGGGAGGGGGCAGTAATAAACGAGGCTACTACACCTCTGCCTTTTGACTAGTATGTTACATTCATGAAATTTGTCTGGAAAATTTCAGGTCAAACCCTTCAAGATCATTTTTTTTTTTAAATTTTATTTCATGGACATTGGTATGAGGGTTTCAGATCCCCTGAAACTGGAGTTACAGACAGTTGTGAGCCATCATGTGGTTGCTGGGAATTAAACTCAGGACCTCTGGAAGAGCAGCCAGTGCTCTTAACCGATGAGCTGTCTCTCCAGCCCCTTCAAGATCAATTCTGTGATGAATATAAACTCCAGGACCTGAGATAACGAGGACTACAAGAACCCTCCCTATCTTTGTCAGAGAGTTGGCAGCATTAAAGCCAATAACTAAAAAGTGGTTCATTATTTTAGAGACTGACCAAGCTGTACTCCAAGAATGAAGTAAAATGTGACACCTGACACACAGGTAATGTGGGATGGGAATTCAGGGGAGAAAATGACTGCCTTTGGGTGAAGTCTGGGGAAGGCCTCACATGAGGTTATGGCATTTGGAATGGATGAGGCTATCGTTTAGGGTTACAGTTTTGGCACTACTGGGGGGACAAGATGATGACAGAGGCACAATGGGTGATGTGGGAGTCCCCTCTCTGTGTTGCTTGTATTGATTAATGAATAAAGAAACTGCTTTGGGCCTGTTGATAGGGTAAAACTCAGGTAGGCAGGGAAGACAAAACTGAATGCTGGGAAAAAGAAGGGCAGAATTGGAGACACACCATGGATCTGCCAGAGATAGATGCTAGAAATTTTACCCGGTAAGCCACTGCCATGTGGCAATACACAGATTAATAGAAATGAGTTAAGTTAATATAAGAATTAGCAAATAAGAAGGTAGAGCTAATGGGCCAAGCAGTGATTTAATGAATACAGTTTCTGTGTGGTTATTTCGGGGCTAAGCTAGCCAGGTGGCCGGGATGAACAAGCAGCCCCTCCTTACAACAAATGGGAAATTAAAATTGTCTAGAAGGTATCAATTGACTTAACTGAGACTGCAATCTCGATTATAACAGAGCTGGCTTCACTAGAGAAAAGCTACAGCAATGCATGGACCCATCGAAGAATTCTACAGTTCTGTTGATCTAATAAGAGACCCTATAGTACATTATCATTCAATAAATATAAGGAATATACAAAGTCTGACTATTTACTCTAAGTATGTTTTTGAAATTTACTTAGAGGCTTTTTTTTAAAAAGAAGGAATGAAATTAATAGCATTAAATGTTCATTATATGCCATTGTATTATTTTCCGTCCTCCCTGCCATCCTCCAATACTGCACATGGCTGTAATAGGCACAGCGATGCATGCCATACAGCACAGTTCTACTGGCTTGCCTTGATAGATGGTTTAGGGATACTAGCTTGTCCAAGCTGGACCAGCACTCCCACCTGTATTTGCTTAGAAGTAGATCAGACCAACACCAGAATGATCCTTGGAGATTCGTTATTTTGGAATTTTTTTTTAAGATAGAAACTAAGTGTTGCTTTTCATTAATTCCTCAGAATTATAACTCACTAAAAATTAAGTAATAGTACTAAT